GAATAACTAGAGAATGTCTATTCTGAATCATACACACTTGTGAAATTTGAAGTCCAGACTAATATGAAGGAAGACCTCCATTACTATCAGATCCATCTGAAAATTACAAAAGTAAAGTGAAAACATTTTAAATTGAAATTTGGTGGGAGGAAAAAAAAAAAAGAAATTTGGTGGGAGGGCTCCAGTTCTTCTCTAGTGAAAACTTGCTCTTGCTAATTACAGCTATAATCTTTGGGAAGAACCTGAAAAATGGCTACCTGAGGACTCTGAAAAGTGAATAAAAGCAGGCCAAAGGTGGAGCAAGCCAAAATTTGGAGATGCATCCTGCTTGTGGGTGAGTTCCCCATTTCTTTTCTCTCATGAAGTAATGATAGAAACCACATTATTCTAGCCAGAGGAAAGAGGGGAAGGGGACTTTGAGGGTCACAGAAAACTGTGACATGCTACAACTTGGGCGAATCTTGAGGTGCTCAGTGAAATAAGGACAAATATGGAATGATTCCACTTATGTGAGGTCCTTGGAGTCATCAGATTCAGAGATGGAAAGTAGGCCTGCATCTGAATCTGATGACTTCAGGGACAGAAAGTAGGCTGGAGATCGCCTACTGGGGACTGGGGCAGGGACAAGTTTCATGGGGACAGAGTTTCAACGACACACGATGAAAAGAGTTCTGGAGATGGATGCCGGGGATGGTTACCCAACAACGTGCGTGTGCCAAAGCCACTGAACCACATATTTAAACATAGTTAAGATGTTAAATTTGATGTGTGAGGTATTTTATACCAAGTTTTAAAAGGGAAAAAATTGCTTTGTCTTTATGTCTGTTTTACCTTAGAACAGCCACCTGTGACTTCCTCTGCTCACGTTTTAATGTGGTGTATCTCTCACTCCCTGTTTAAAGTATTTGTATTTAGGGATCCCTGGGTGGCGCAGTGGTTTGGCGCCTGTCTTTGGCCCGGGGCGCGATCCTGGAGACCCGGGATCGAATCCCACGTCGGGCTCCCGGTGCGTGGAGCCTGCTTCTCCCTCTGCCTGTGTCTTTGCCTCTCTCTCTCTGTGACTATCATGAGTAAATAAAAAAAAAAAATAAAAAAAAAATAAAGTATTTGTATTTAGAAAACATATCTTATCTAGTATGGAACTTGTTTTTCTTAAATCACTCTTAATATTTGTCTTTATTCGGATTATTGAGATTATTAACATCTCATATAATTATTGATACAGTTGGATTGAGATCTATCATTTCCTGATGTATTTTCTATTTATCTCTTGTTTTTTTATTCTTCTCTTCTGCTTCTTTCTTTTGAGTTATTATTTTTTAAAGATTTTATTTATTTATTTGAGAAAGTGTGAGAGAGAGAGAGAGAGAGAGAGAGAGAGAGAGGAGAGAGAGAGAGTGAGCACAGGCAGGGGGAGCAGCAAAAGGAGAAGCAGGCTCCTCGCTGAACAGGAAGCCCGACATGGGGCTCGATTTCAGGACCCCAGGATCATGACCTGAGCCTAAGGCAAAAGCCACCGAGGTGCCCCAGGTTTCAGCAGTTTTATTATGATCTGTCTAGGTATGGTTTTATTCAAATTTTTCCTGCTTCAGGTTTGCTGAAATTCTGTGTCTTTAAATCACAATTGGGTAGTTTTATGACTGTTATTTAAAAAATTATTCCCCCCCATCCCTTTCCCCTTTCTTATCATAATAACCAATTACATATATTTTAAATCTTTTGATATTGTGTGACAGGTCAGTGAAACTCTGTTCATGTTACTTATTCTCATTTCTTGTATTACTGTCTCCTATCATCTCCATTTTGCTATTGAGCAGAGAGGGAGGTCTTATTTCAGGTATATAGTACTTTCTATTCTAAAATGTCCACGTGCTTATTTTTGTAATTTTGCTTACTCTACTGAGAAATCCTATCTTTCTGTTCCTTCTTAGTTACTTTCCTTTACTTTATAGAACCTAGTCATCAAAGCTTCTTAAAAGTCTGGTAATTTCAACATCACGTGAACGTGGGTTTGGCCTCTGTTGAAAGTATCTATCCCTTAGAGTTACTCACATATTCCTCATTTTTTGTACGGCAGGTGATTTTGCATTGTATCTTGAACTGTCTGAATACTCTGCTGTGTTCTCAGTCCTGCTGTGGAGAATGCTGATGTTTAGAAGACAGCCAACCCAGTCCGTTTAGTGTATACGTGTTGCTTTGTCTTCTTGCCCCATTGGCTAAATCTCTGCTCTGTTTGTTTGGGCCTTCTCCAGACATGCTCAGGGGGTAAGATGAAACCCTTGCAGGAACAGGTGCAGAGTTGGAGAACCCCTTCTCTGATTGTCTCATCTCTGGCTTTCCCTCTCACACCGTCTATCCCTCAAGGGCTCCTTTCCTTCTTTCTCTTGGTCAGAAGGACATGACCTCTTCCATGCTGCTTCATGAGAAAGAAAAAAGGTATTCTAAAAAAGAAATGGGAAACTATCCTCTTTGTAGGATGGATCTCCAGCTTTTGGCTCCCTCTATGATTGACCTGTTTCTGTTATTTTGGGGTCCTGACAGGTTTTTTAAAAAAATATTTGGTCCAGGGGCACCTGGGTGGCTCCATGGTTGAGGGTCTACTTTTCGCTCAGGGGTCCTGGAATCAAGTCCTGCATCAGGCTCCCTGCATGGAGCCTGCTTCTCCCTCTGCCTGTGTCTCTGCCTCTCTCTGTGTGTCTTTCATGAATAAATACAAAAAAGCTTTTTTAAAAAAGATAAAAAATATTCTGTCTTCATGATTTGCCCATTCTAGACACTTCCCATAAATGGCATCATACAACATGCGGCCTTTGGTGTGTCTAGTTTCCCTCCCTGAGCATAATGTTTGCAAGGTCCTTGCATGGTGTAGCATGTAACCAATGCCTGCTTCCTTCTCATGGCTGAATAATACTCCATCGTGTGGCTACCCCACACTCTGTCCCGTTCCTCGGGTTGCTGGACAGCAGTCCCTCTCTAAACTCTTCCTAATTTCCTAGTCTGAGGGCAACCCCAGCGGCTGCCTGCCACCCCTCTGGGGCGAGCTGAGAGGGAGCCCCTTCCCCTGGACTCCCACGCCTGTCCTTGTCCACCCCTTGGCTCTTCCCCCTGCCCCTTATCCCACTGACCTTTACTACCATCTGGGGCTCAACCCAACAAGTCTACCACCAGACATACAGACCCTCCGAGAGGCTCACACATGTGCCAAGTGACCAAATGCCTCACAGAGGCATTAATTGAAATATCAAGAGGCCCAGAGAATCAAAAGATCCACCCGTGGGGACTGATTATATAAATTCAGACGCTTCTGTAAACTGGAATGTTCTGCAGCTGTGACCTGCATGGAGACCTGGGCCCTGCCCTGGCCCAGCAGGCAAAAACTCATTATCCAGGTTATCACTCGATGTCTCAAGAGCAACACAGCTTTCAGCTTGCTTAATATTCTGGTCTTAGATCATTCTTCATATTTGAACCCTGGCATTATGTTTATTTTATTTATTTATGTTTATTTTTATTTTATGTTTATGTTTATGTTATTTTAGGTATTTAAAGGAATGTTTACTGTAATTTATCCACAATTTATAAAAAGAGGTGTTCATACTGACTAGACTATCTTATCACCTGTAGGAACAATAGTCACATTGTATGTGTCAGGAATGTGATTTTTCAGACTCTTTACACAGACTGTGTTGGAGGAAAAAATGTATGTTGTCAATAATCTTGACTTTGTGACACATTCATTCTGTGTTGCTTCTAATATTATATTATAGGAAGAATAATAATTTTAATGTTTTGATTGCATTTTTAAAAATGAAATAACACCATGGGGCACCTGAGTGGCTCAGTCAGTTAAGTGTTTGCCTTTGGCTCAGACCATGATCCCAGGGTCTTAGGATGGAGCCCTGCATCAGGCTCCTTGCTCAGCCGGGAGCCTGCTTCTCCTCCCTCTGCTCCTTCCCCTGCTCCTGCTGTGGTTCTCACTCCCTCTCAAATAAGTAATAAAAAAAATGTTAAATTAAATTAAAAAATCTTTTTAAAAACCCACCAGAATTTGATATTATAATCTTCATGTTACTAAAGGGATATAACAGTGGTTAAAATTATTGACCTCTGGTTTCTGAATCTGACATATACAATTAAAGATTTGAATTCATGTTCTGTTCTGCCTCCTTGTATCTAACTTCATTTAAAAAAATATATATATATAGTCTATAGGTTCTACTAACATATAAAGATTTAGTACATAATGTACTAATGTACAAAGATTTATACATTTTGCAAGAGGATAAATAATTCTTACATGTAAGCATTTTGCTGTTATTCGCTGATGTTATAAATTATGTCTAGATAATTAAAACTGCAAGACTTATTTATGGACTATGTAGAGATTTTCTCTGACCTTGTACATGCTCAATATTTAAAACTCTGTCTTACAAATATATTCTGTGCGCACATACAGACACACACATATGTACATATTATTTTAATAAGTGATTAAAGTCTTCAAATTGGTTATCTAGGTTTTGTCTTCCTTGTTTTTCACTTTGTCATTTAACAACTTACTTGAGTTAGCTGATCTGTAATAAACTATACATACTTGAAACATACAAATGGATTCTTTCAACATATATACACATCATGAAAATATCACATCCCCCCTCACCCCCAGACTTTCCTCGCGTCCCTTTGTAAATCTTGCCTTCTGCTTTTCTTGTTCCCCTCGGCCACCTGCAGATAGTCACTGATCTCCTTATCACTTAAAAGTTTGTTACTGGGTTAGGGGTCCAATTCCTATGAATGAGATTTGAATGAAATCCCTGAATTATCTCATATAGGTATACTCTTAAATGATCTACTATGTAGTTGTGAGCCATGTGTACCAAAATAAACAAGCTTAACAGAAAAAGCTTTATGTTTCAGTTAACCCAGAGAGCACACCCTTTACACTATGATGAATTGGTTTGAAGTCAGTGCCTTGGATCATCCTTTAAAGGCATAAACTGTCACAGAAAAATTACACATTTATTGTCGTCCTTTGATTTTTGTCTTTTGGTGCTGATGAGCAACAAAGGACTGATGGTGGCATAGCCATTTCCCACAATCATTTGGACACACAGACGCACAGGGTCATTGTTCCACAACATTCTTGAAGAAGAGGAGACAATGAAGTCCAAAAAGTACATGACCACAAAGAAACTCATGAGTAACAGAATGGTCGTAGTGGCCTTTTTTTCTGGAGATGTCTTTGGAGAAAGATTGGTGCTGTGAAGATGCTGGGTCTGCCTCTTATGCTGGTACAAAAGAATCACCATGTACCCACTTGAGAGGGCCATAAGCCCCATCATGGAGACTTCCTGGAATGCCACCAGTGCAAAATATATGTACCTAAAGAAGTAGCTCACAGGACAAAGTGAGCAGGATTCAGTGACAAATAGAAGACAGGCTGAGGTCACATTGGGGGTGGCAATAGTAGATATTAAGAAATTACTATTAATGGCCGTATTGAAGACCCAGAGGAAGAAAATGCTATACATGTTTTGGTGTGATGATTTATGTTTGAACTTTGCCAAGTAGGAGCTTCGGGGACTCAGGATGATGGCCTGGGTGACACTTAGGAGGCAGGTGGTACAAAAAGATAGGCCCCTCATCAATCTGTACATATAGATAACTGATTTACATTTTATGTCATCCCAAAGTTTCTGGGACCCAAAGATGTCTGCAGTCATGAACCCCATGGTTAGTAGCATGACTATGTGGATTAGGGCCAAGTGAACAATGATCAGGTCAGTTGGCTTAGGCCTGTGCTTGAGAAATAGGGAGTTGACGTGGACGATAAGAAGGATGGCATTGGCTGTGATCCCAATTCCAATTTCGGAGAAAGAGGCGTTCCTTACATCAATAAAACTGGAAGGTTTGTTATTTTTATTCATCTTTATGATGGTGGAAAATAAACATGTAGTAAATGCCTAAGGAGAAGCTCAAGAAAAACTCTTTATCACAAATATGAACAAAGTTATCAACTTAACCATCACAATTGCCATCCTGAAAATAGGTGGAGTAATCCCAATGTCCTGCTTCCTACCCTTTAGTGCAGAAGACCACTCTAGCACCCTCCTGAAAGCCATCTCCAAATTCCCCTCATTTTGCAACTTCCCAGTCTTCCCTGGATTGTGTTTCCATTGTTGGGCTCATAAAGCCAATTTGCCTTTGTACTTACAGAAACCTGATAAAATGCTGGATATATAGTAAGAGCTATATAATTTTTGGATATAATTTTTGCTGGATTACAGTGAGGGAAATTGCCTAAAAGTGGAAATAAGGCCCTCCCAAGCAAAAGGAGTCAATGAGATAGCCATGCATACAGATGTATTAGTTCACTACAGTCTTTATTCTGATTCTGGTTTATTTCCAGACCAAATAAGACTAAATATTGATGTGTGGTCCTAAAGTCAGGCAGCCTGAATTTAAATACATGAGCTGACATTTGATACAAGCATGAACCTGAGCAACCAGTTTAGCATTAAACTGAGCTCACATGTAAAGGATAACTATAGTACCTATATCCTAAAGATATAAGGATAAACAGATTAAGTCAATATACTGAACATGGATGAGTGCCTGATGCATAGGGATTGCCACAGAAATGTTAGCTATTATTTTTATTATTATTTAGTTCCTCATACCTGTGACTTAAGAGAGTTGATGCAATTATCTAATAATTCCCTAGCTCTGTCCTTTCTGAGAGAGAGAGGAGAAACAATTATTAAAATAGTAGAACATTTTAACGAGCTATGTTTATAGGACGCTGGTGAAATTTTACTCTTTTCTCAGAATCCTCCAAGAAATTTCACATTTTATGTATTTTTTATTATCAGGCAAGAAGGGGGCAAAAAAAAAAACAATTTTAAGTGAGCAAAATCAAATAACTAATCATTAGCAGGAACAAATTCCCAAATTTCCCAATTTTCTCCCCAATTTTTTTTCTCTCTATTCTTTGCAAATGGTACCAGGGTAGTAAAGATAACAGCAATTTAAATAGATTCTGGGTTATTTTCTAGAAAGGTTTTAACCAGAAGACTGATGATAACCCCAACCTGAAAGATGTTTCTCCACAGAAGTTCAAGCATCCAAGTCTCCTTCAAGTAATCACTGATATCCCATAAGGATCAAATGTAAAATTTACACTAGGGAGCTTGGTGATGGCCCTACACAAGGAATATCTTCCCTATACAATGCAGGTATTTACTTTAATTCAAGCCTTAAAAATATGGAGTACATAACATTGTAAAATGGGTCCGGACACATATTTTCAGATTGGTCATCTATAAATCAAGAATGTAAGGCTCAAATATTTTCACAGGTATTTAACAGGTACTTCTATTATGTTTAGTTACTATCAACATAATATAGCATTTAGATGGGCACTTGTTCTAAAGCCTTTGGGGAATTTTTATTTTATTAAACAGAAATACCTTAATAGCATTAGAAAAATAATATTTCTTTTTTCTTCTATCCCCTCCATATCTGTCTACTTTTTAAATTCAATTAATTAATGTATAGTGTATAATTAGTTTCAGAAGTAGAGTTTATGATTCATCAGTTATATGTAACACCCACTGCTCATTACATCATGTGCCCTCCTTAATGTTCATCACCAAGGTACCCCATCCCCCTGACTATCTCCCCTCCAGCCACTCTCAGTTTGTTTCCTATAGTTAAGAGTCTCCTGTGGTTTGTCTCCCTCTCTGACTTCATCTTATTTTATTTTTCTCTTCCTCTATGATCCTCTGTTTTGTTTCTTAAATTGCACATATGAGTGAAATCATATGATAATTGTCTTTCTCTGATTGACTTATTTCACTTAGCATAATACCCTCTAATTCCATCCATGTTGTTACAAATGGTAAGATTTCATCATTTTGATGGCTAATATTCCATTGTGTATATATACCAGTCCCTCTCCAAAATATTGAGCAAGTAAAGTGATATAATTTTTTCTAGTCACACATTCAACAAGTTAGGGTTTACTCCTGTGATATGCCCAGAAGAAATAACAGAAAAATATTAATTTTCTGTGTTTTCTGGGTCACGATGATATCATCACGTATACAGTCCTAAGTGGTATTCATTGTCTGTTATGTGCTTATGAAATATATATATATTCCTATAAATTATTTCCTATAGGCATTGAAATATATACTGATAACATTTTAAAAGAATAACACTAATTAGATATACTATTTAAAGGATAACATTTTGGGGCACCTGAGTGGCTCAGTCAGTTAAGTGTCTGCCTTTCACTCAGGTCATCATCTCAGGGTCCTGGAATCGAGTCCTGCAACAGGCTCCCTGATCAGTGGAGAGTCTGCTTCTCGCTCTCCCTCTGCTCCTCTCCCCCTGCTCGTGTTATCTCTCTCTCTGTGTCTCACATAAATAAACAATATCTTAAAGGACAACATTTTAAAGAATGGTATAAAATAAGTTACAATGAAAATTGTAAAATTCTTATGTGTAATTTCTGTGAATACAAACTTCGCTTTAATTTAGTTTGAAAATACAGTTTCATAAGTATGTAACATTGTAAAAGTGGTCAAGTAGCATGTTTCAATCCTCTATATTAGGGTGTAGAACTCCCATTACTTTCAATATTACTAAGGGGACTGCAGTCCTACAAATAGAAATTATTAAGGAAAGGCAGGGGTGCATAGTTGCCTTGAACTTGCCCTGGTATTTAGGAAATCACGGTTTAGGTGGTCATTGCTTTAGAACCACTGGATCCTACAGCTAATCCCTTTCTCTGAGCCTGCCTCTCAGGAAGCCAACCTGTAAGAAGGGGCTCTAAAGATAAACTCCTAGTTTTCATTCCTCCTCATGAATCAGCCTAATTCTGTATGTGAGCAGTTGCACCTATTAGAAGTTTCTTATTCTGAAACACAATGATCTCCTAGTAACCTCTGGTCTTAATATCTGCTCATTGAAACCAAACAGAGCAAATCTATTCCTTCTTCTTATAACATCTTAAATTAGCAGAGGATTACTATAATGTGCCTACTAAAGTTTTTTTTCCAAGCAAAAGAGTCCAGTTTTCTCTACTGTTCCATAGTAAGACAGGTTTCCAGATTTGTCTCCATCCTTATTGACCTCTCCAGTTTACCCATATCTTTTCATTTATTACTTGATACATTTTTAAAAGATATCATTTATTAATGAGAGACAGAGAGAGAGAGAGAGGCAGAGATATAGGCAGAGGGAGAAGCAGGCTCCCGGGGGGAGCCTGACACGGGATATGATCCCAGGATCCCGGGATCATGACCTGAGCCAAAGGCAGATGCTCAACCACTGAGCCACCCAGGCGTCCCACTATTTGATACATTGAAAGAGATCCTTTTCCCATGAGTAAAGGACATGATTGCTTAAAAAAGAAAAAAAAAGGCCACTAGAAATTCTTGTTTTTCCATAGGAGAAATCCCATAGGAAGCCCAAGAAAAGTTAATCTCCTTTTGCCCAGTATCATGACACAATTTGATACATTCATGAGCATCCACTTATATCTCCTCCATGGAGCAGAGGAGAGACAACAGAAAATATTATCTCACTCATCTAGCTGTCTCTAAATTTGGTGGATTACACAAAATTAATCGATGAATCACACACTCCACATATACACATTTTATATTTGTAAATATTATAAATATGTGTAGATTGTAAACATTATAAAGATGTGTCACTATATTATTTTTATATAAAGTAGTAGATATGAACATTTCATAAAAACAAACTAAAAGAAACTAAAATAGGGATCCCTGGGTGGCGCAGCGGTTTAGCACCTGCCTTTGGCCCAGGGCGCGATTCTGGAGACACAGGATCGAATCCCATGTCGGGCTCCCAGTGCATGGAGCCTGCTTCTCCCTCTGCCTATGTCTCTGCCTCTCTCTCTCTCTCTCTCTGTGTGACTATCATAAATAAATAAAAAAAAATTTAAAAAAAAGAAACTAAAATAAATTTAGTGTGTCCTTTCACAGTCATTACCTGAATAAACACCACTGTTTTAGGAGATTAGGGTGCCAGAAAAGAATCATTTCCCGTTAGCAGAATGATCTAGGAGACCTTCCTCAAATAAAGCTCTTAGGAATAGTTAATGTTGAGATGGTCCCTGACTTACCTATATACCAGGCACACAAAAAAAATCTCATTTTATATAGTGGAGAAAACTAGCTTCCCTCAGAGATATTTAAAATGACATAATACCACAGAGAAAATAAAATGGAAGAAAATTCTAAAATAGGCCACATCTGGAGAGGTCACTTTGTGAAAGATGAAAGAGAAGCAAATAACAGATTAGGGGAAAACAAAACACAATTGAGTCAGAAATGCCAAATAGAAATCTGAGCATTCAGGGGCACCTATGTACTCAGTCAGGTAAGGATCTGACTCTTGGTTTTGGACCAGATCATAATCTCAGGGTCATGAGGTCGAGTCCTCAATCAGGCTTCACACTCAGTGGGGAGTCTTGTTCAGATTCTCTCTCCCTCTGCCCCTTCTTGTGCTCTCTCTCTCTCAAATAAATAAATAAAATCTTTTAAAGAGAGAGAGAGAGAGAGATTTGAACATTTATTTTGAAAAGTTACCACCAAGAGCTCTTAGACCTGATAGTGAAGCTATCAGAAAGATATGGCAGTTAAGACCCTGTGATACTCTGATCAAAAAAAGCAATCACTGTAGACATTCTGCATTTATCCAAATCATGGATAATCAAGAGGGTCATCAACTAGTGAAGAATAGTAAGGTCATTTCACTGGATCCAGTGGTCACAAAGGACGTGGAAGGTATAATGGAGCGAAGAATTCCCTTGCTAGACCCCAATACAAGTTTTGTGCTCTTGTTCTTTTGGGTGGAACAGATTACATGGTGAAGGGAAAGAAGGAAGGGC